TCCCAAGTGTCTGTGCTTGTATTCTGATGGTTATAAATTATGTAACTGAACTCCAGGAACAACCTAGACTTAAATGAGATACCAGTTAAGTAATAAAAATATATAGATTTCCTTCCCAGGAAACAAAAGTATTTATTAGGAAGCAGTATATGATTTCCTGAGGTCAATTTTTTTAAAAAAATTTTGAACTGTCAACAACATGTAGTAACTCTTTGCAAAAAGTGATACCAGGGAAATACATGATCCTGGAAAGCAGTCTTTCATTTAAAAAAAATATTGTTTAATATACTAAACCAACTCTGAAAGAATTAAAGTGATCTCATACAGTCTGTTTTAATAATATCCAGTATTAAGACAGCACTGTTTGCTCAATGTTCTAGTCTTCTATTTAAAGTTGTGCATCTGATCTTATTGCAGCTATCTCACTGTTATTTACAATCAAATTAAATGGTTTTATTACACCTGGGAACAGTTAAACATTGGCTTGTCAGCTGTAAACAATTACAAGAGACAATGAAATTAGTAGATTTTTCTTAAATAGTCATGTATCCTTAATCTAATGTGCCACTGTTAACATAGGTGACGTTGATGTAGATTTTCTTTGTGCATTATATATCGGATCCAAAGTTCACTGAAGTCAGTGCAAAGACTACAAGGGCCCACTGAAGTCAATAAGTAGGTATACTATAAGATACAATCTCATCTGCTGTAAATCAGTGTGATTCCACTGATTTAAATATAGCTGAATCCGTTCACACTAGCTCAGAAACTCCTATGGTGCCAGCCTAATTTGAGTGTAAGTTCCTTGTGGTGGTCACTGTGCCACCTTCTACAGTATGTTTTGTACAGCACTGTGCACATTGAGCCTTACTGAAAGTGAAAGCCCACGGGAGTGAATGGGAAATCTTCCATTGATTTCAATGAACTTTGGACTAGGCCCATAGATTTAATTCAATAAATAAATAAATAAATAAATAAATAAATAAGCAAGCCCAGTTCTGCAATTTCTATTAGGCTGCAGAACTTAATAACTATGCAGTTCATATTTTACCCTCTTCCCTAGTTACTGCTATCCCTATTAACATTCATATCTTGCATACTTCAAGGCCTTCAGACAGTTGACTCTTTAGTCAATTTTTTATTGTTTTGGACAGTGTAATGCTAAAAAGACTTAATGTATGTTTACCTTAGCCAACTCATCATATGTTATATGGGCCAAAATTCACTCTCCATTAGCCCTGCGCAATCCCACTAATTCCAGTAAGGTGCAACTGGGCCATATGTCTACACACAGCAATGCCTCTATCTTTACATATGCTAAAAGCTCAAAACTCTTCTTAGCCATCTCAGATGTCGAGTTATAGGCAATACTTTTGTAATTACTCAGGGCTTTTGTTTCACACATGCTCACAGTCACTGGAGAGCACTACAGCTGTTTTATTCACTTCTAGAAATGAACTTATCAGGAGCTGTAGCAAGAGGACCTTGCAGCTGCAACACTGAGGTAAGAAGAACTAGTGCTGAGTGGTAGAGTTTCAAGGGCAAAGCTCTAGATGTAAAGAATAATAAAACAAAACCTAAACTATACTATGTATATCTAGTGACAGATATACTCCAGCTATGATAAATTATGCAAGCTCCCCCAGACTTCTTACAGAATAGTCATCATTCACCCGTTCCGTTATCCTGGAGGTATGTAAAGGCTGAGGTAACAGTTCTGGTGTAATCAAGTTGGAAAACATCTGCCAAAGTAAACCTTTATTTAGTGCATACTATATAATATTTATAGAGCAAAGCTATGAATGCTTCTTGAGCCATTTTAGGAACTGGAAACTAAATTGTACTTTCTGAAGGTTTATCCTGACTTTCTCCGACTGTTTCTTTTACTTCATAGCATTTCACTGGCAAGCAGCCATTAAAACTGTTGTCTAATTACGCAGCATATCAGAAGCTTGCAGCCCCGTAGATAACATTTTTTGTATTATAACTGGATTTTAAACATTATCATCTGAGTGAAAGAAGTTAATCCCCAAATTAACATATTTAAAAAATAAAGCCATGTGTGTCAATAGTAATCATTATTTGTCTAGGGAAATGTGATTTTGGATGAGGAACTTATTTCAGAGGTTAAACACCCTAATATTTAACAGACTACAATTTGATGGGCTGGCTAGATGGCTTACCCCTTAGGTATGGCAGAGGTTTAGTCACATGTAATTACACATTTAGACAATATTTTAATGATGATACAAAATACTGCCACTGACTCAGTCCGTCTGGAGATCATGGTGGTGTTCTGATTACATAGCCAGATGTTAAATTATGATTCACAGAACCTATGCTTTTCACTTACAATGTTTTGATATGGATGTTCTTGAAATTCAAGGCAACATAGGTGGGGATCATTTAACACAGTTGTGCACTTTCATGACGACATTTTAATTTGCACTGGTATGTAGTTAAAGACCAGTGTAGATGTTTGACTCTTTTTGATCTGATAGCAAAAACTTAAATATTTACTAAAATATTATATATCCAGATGGGTTTGCTTTTTAAAGGTATTCCAGTACTGTGCTTCATTTAAGCACTCTCAAGTTATTCATTTTGAAGAAACTGTGCCCTTCATTTACTTTATGTAAACTTTGCTGATAACAAGCTATAATTATTTTGTAGTTCTGAATTAATGCTTGACTTATATCACTTGATGATTACCTGTTTTGTTCATTCCCTCTGAAGCACCTGGCATTGGCCACTGTCGGAAGACAGGATACTGAGCTAGATGGACCATTGGTCTGACCCAGTATGGCTGTTCTGAAGTTCTTATGTGCATGGGGGGGAAAACATGTAAACAAATCTATGTTTTATTTAATTTTTGGCACTGTGGACAAACATTCTGCAAATCTGAAAATATCTATGACGTGTCAACAAGAATATCAACTACCTTCTAATTTTATTATGTGTTAGATGAAAAACAAAAAGTCCTAGGCATAATGCCAGATAGATTAAGGGGAGTTGCTCCTACCTAAGGACTGTAAGATTGGGGCTCTGATCATGTGTATGTTTGTTTCCTTTTATTCTCTTTCCTCAGTTAGGGACTCATCCTGTAGACACTTACACATGTAGGTAACTTTATACAAATGAATAGTCATACTGATTAAAATAGGACTACTCACCTGAATAAAGTTACTTACCTGCATTAATGTCTGCAGAATCAGACATTAATTCCCATTCCCTTCCTGAAGCAATATGCTCACACAAAACCTATTTATTTTACAAGTAGAGGAGTACACATTTAGAAACATTTCTGAGAAGCACAGTACTCTGCACTATTAAGAAACATGGTACAACAATGGTAACAGTTAGATGTACAGGCTAACCTACCAAAATGAAGTCTTCAGCATACAATTGTATCTCATAAAACTATTTTCTATGAAAATTAAAAGACTATATGGTAAAGCCAATCTGCTTTGACCCCTAAAGCATTACAAACATAGGTCTAACACTGCAGAATTAACACTTGTGATAATATAAAATATGAAAATAAGTTGCTAGCTGTAGCAAGTGGAAGCAATGACACAAGAACTCAAATGAAAAAAAATGCATATTATGGAGGTGTAAAGAAAGAATACAAGTACCAGAGAATTAACTGTAATCTTTTTTTTTTAAACATATAACATGGCATCCTGCCAAACCACACTCTGTACTTTACTTACTGTTTCAAGCAGCTCTCATTTAGCTACCCATTTATTTTTAGTTTAGCAGGGCATATATCCCTAGGTATATTTGGATTTACAAAAACAACCTAAGCTCAACCAGCTGCTCTTCACCGGTAGGATCAAATAAAGTAGCTTTCTCAAACATTGGTATAGCACAGACTACCTTTCCAACACAGGGGTGTTGGCATTTAAGATTACACTACAATGTATTGTACAATGTTTTTACTACAATGTATTGGTATTTACTACAGTTCCCCACTCCACTTGAGATTATTCATTTTCTTGCCAGCACAAAAATTACATTTCTCAAGACTGACTACCAAAAATATATTACCAGAGACATAATATTACTAGAAGCCTAATTAGTATTAGAGAAACGTTCACTCTACGGGGTAAACTACAGCCACTGAAACTGCCTTGTGACTTTTACTTTGAAAATATTTCTTCTTTAAGAAACGATGACAATGAAATGTGTGTGAGGTCCGTATGAGTACAGCCCCAGATGTTTACGATGCAATAGTAGTATAGCAGTGCTGCAATATGAGAGCTTTCCGAAGAAAAGAGTACAACAGGACACCACAAAGCAGCACATATGCTATTGACAACGCAGACATGAGCATCATGTTACCAGAGAGAAGGCAGGGCAAAGACAAATAGCAGCAGTGGTGCCTTAAAAGTTAACTTCATGGGCTGCAATCGCTCAAAACCCAACAACATGCAGGGACAGAAATCAAAACCAGAAAAACACTTTTCACGGGATGGGGAGTGGAAGGATGGGGGGCGGGGAAGAGAGAAGTAGATAAATCTTGTGGGGCTTAAAGGGAGGCGGGGAATCAATGTATTGTTTTAAACTAGAGTTCACATCAAACCATTCTAATGACAGGGGATAATTGTTTTCAGACTCAGTAGAAAATACTCCCCCTCCCCCCTTTACAAATCTTTCTAAGTTGCTTTTCTGCCAGCCCAGGAAACCAATTGTGTTCACTCAAACCATTTGCAAAACAAATTTCTGGAGAGAGATGAGATGTGCAGATAGGAGAAGGATGCAGCGAGCAGAGACCAAAGAGACACCACCCCACCTCTCCCTGTCACCTTCCCAAGCAAGTGCTCTTGAGAACTAAAAGTTTGGATGGCAGGGTGGAGGGTGGCATGTGAGCAAACGAGATGCACTAGTAGTGGGGTGACTGTCCTGGTTGTGTAGGGCTTTTCGGGGGGGGGGTGTGATATTGATTAGGCTCCCTCTGGGCGCTCAGTTCTCGGGGGCTGCGGGGAATCAGTACTTACTGTACGGGCAGTTCTCCTTCTTGGTCCCGCTGACCTTGCCGTTCTTCTCAATCTTGAGAAAGTACTTGTTGTAAGAGTAGAGCTTCCTCCAGCGCACATCTCCCTGGAGGTGATTGTAGCTCCGCACGTGCCTCCCCGCACTGGCAGGAGAGGAGAAGGATGAAGAGGAGGAGGAGGATGAAGAAGACGCGTTGGTGGCCTCCGGGGACCGCATGTCCTGGCAGATGACAGACCCAGAAGACACCAAGAAGAGCAGCAGGAATAGGCAGTAGCACCCGCAGCAAGGCAGGTGGGAAAAGGCTGAGGCACCATTTGTCAGTATCCATTTGCACATTGTACTGAAACGCTGGGCGCTGGAAAATGTCTCATCAGAAGAAACATACTGGAAGGGTAAAACCTGGTAAAAGGCAAGTGGAGAGCTGGTGGCTGCTGCTTCTGGTTAGAGCCCTCTGAGCTCTGATCTGGCCTGAAGTGAGTGCACCAACATCCATAACTCGGGACAAATCGCCTCAGAAGTTGCTGCCTTTTTAATCCTTCGAGTCCTCCCTCACAGAAGAAAGTTGGTGGGGTTTTTGTGTGGTGGTGGTGGTGGTTAATCCTCTCTCCTTTTATTCTCACCCCCCCTCCCCAACCTGGTCTGAGGCTTCCCCGTGGTTATTTCGTTCTCTTCCTCCCTCCTTTCTTTACCATCTTAGATGCAGAAAGGTCTGAAAAATAGATGACAGCAGAGTGAACAAACGATAGCAAAAATAAATAACGACTAGAACCCAAGGGGGTACTGGAAGGGGTTTCTTGCCCCAAGCCCACCCCCTACACACACACACACACACACACACACACACACACACACACACACTACTGATGGCTTTTGCACCTTCTTCTGATTTCCCCACCCCCTTTCCTTGGCAAAGCGCAAGCCAGTTGTACAACTCGTCCCTTCTCACTGACAGCCCAGAGGAGGCAGTTTCTTTGTTTTGCTTTGAATCCTTCAGAAAGTACCCAAAAAAAAAAGCTCCAAAGAGAGAGAGAGAGAGAGAGAGAAATCCCAACTTCTCTCCCCCGTCTGGTTGTAAACAGGTTGGAAGCTGTAGCCTCAGTGTATGTCAGTGATTACAAGCAAGAGGTGGGATGTGCCTCTGGTGGTCAACCCTTGTTTGCAGGGGGTCAAGCAGCGGTGGGACATCTGAAACCCTTTTGCAGCTGGAGTGAGCAAATGCCTGCTGTGGAGGGAGCCTCCGGACGGAACTGCCCTTGCTTCCTCCCCGTCTGCAGCAGAAGCAGCAGTCTTCAGCTCTTTGCTAATTGCTCCTAAAGCGTTCTTCTCCTCCGAGTGCTGGCCACCAGCATGGCTTGGAGACTCATGCTTTACTAATTTCCCTGTCTTCCAGGCTGAACCAATCCACTCTAGGGAAACCCCCCTTCTTTCCTTTCTTCCTTTTTTTTTAATGCTTGTTTTCTAGCGCAGGGTTTTATTTTATTTTTTTGGCAGTGAAGTGCTTGAGAGAACCACCTGGAGCTTATGCTGTGCTGACTTCCCCCACCCCCCTTCCTGGGTTAGAGAAGGGATCGGGGGCGAGACTGGTTAGAAGAATATAGTGCAGACAAGCCCTGAAAAGTAAGATTATATGTTGGTCAAGGAGAGTAAAAGGGAAGAGACATAATTAGCTCCCTTTCCTTCCCCTTTGCCAGCTTCCATGGAGGTCTCTCCCCCCGCTTTAATGTACCATTGATTTCTCGCTTCCGTTGCTGAAATAAAAAGTTCACACTTTAGCCTGCTCTTCCTTTTAAGCCTCTCAAGATTTATCTCCCCTCACCCTCCTGGTCTCAAATGAAATCGGGGATCTAAATGACCTATAATTTCTAATTACTAACATGAGTCATTGACTGAATCACGCGTCGGACTTCAAAGCAAAATGGGCTTTTATGGGGATTGCAATGTTTTCCCCATAAAATCTGTCTGAATGGTTTTCTGTGGGGTTTTTTTTAACCAACAATTAACAGGCATCCTTGTGTGATGCACTAAGTTTTTATACCTTAATAAGGGACCAGGGAGTGTCCCTGCTCGTGGTTAAGGACAGTCGGTACACAAGACATTAAACTGTGCATGAGCATTCACTAATGTAAAACAATCCGTATAAAATGCAAGATAACGAAACACTATTAAGTAAGAGAATAGATTACAGAGGGAAACTGACATTATGTGGAAACAAAATGGGTTATCCTGTGCATAAACATAGAACTTGTCTGAAACAGGCATAGTCAAAGGGAAATAATGCTGATCAATAGAATGCAGTAGAAAAACAGCCTCTGCCATTATATTGTGCATTTGGAATCAATTTTACTTTGAACAGCAGAAAATACATAAAAGACAAATAGGTATAAAATTAGACTGATTCATTAGGCTGGGCTCTTTAGTATATTAACTTCACTGTAAAAAATTAGAAATGATTTTCTCCAATTTTGATGTTTACTCAGTGGCAAAAGAGTCAGCTCTTAAATTTATGTGCTTAGATTCTGCGGGTGACATTTAAACAACCTTAAAAATGGAACCATTTAATGCTGGAATCAATATGTTTTATGGTGTTGTTTATGTTACTTCAGAATATTTATTCTTCATATTTTCACTGTAGTAAAGGCTTCAGAAAATGTTGGGGCTTAATTTGATGTAGGATTTATTTTTGTAGTTACTAATCTTAAAGAGAAAAGAAAAAGAAAAAGTTTATTCTATCAGGAATGGCTGACAACTTTAATGTGGTCACAATGTTAATTTCAATGTTCTAGCTCATAGTTTTATACCTGGGTTACCCACAATGTCTGAAATATACGGTATAGGGTTTCTGCGGGATTTGTGTTTCAGCCAAAAGTTCAGCTGATTCAAAAAATTTAAAATGACAAGTAACTAAAAATACATGTCTTTTAAATTGTACATTTGATGACACCATCATATTATAGCCCTTTGGGCTAACAAATGTCACAAAATGCAGCAATTTTTTTTAGAGCTTCTCTGCACTGGGAAGAGAAAATATCACTGGAAGCTAAAAAGGCTTTACTTAAAATATTATTTAAAGCCTCACAGCTGAATTTTCTGCTCAGGTGAGAAATTCTGCTTAGACCTATTTATAACTTCTGCTTGGTTGCATGAATCAAAAATAAAAATTGCAACTTTAGAAGTTTCATATTAAATCTGGTTCTGGCAGGTGCAATACTTAGTGCAGTACTTAAAACCACTACAACAGATAGAGTCCTTTTCTATGCTGTGTGATGACAGGGAGGGCATTTACAAAACAGAGCCCAAATGAAAAGCTGACATAGCTTTTTAGATTATATCTCATTCCTTTTTCTACTTTCTGTATAGCCTTTCTTTTATAGCACAGTTGAATCCCTAAATACCCCACTACTTTGTATTGTTAGGTCACCTCTTAGGTTAGCCTGAGAAAGCCTGAGAAAAGTTCCACAGGAAAGATGCACTATTTAACGGAATTCAATCTGTCCCAATAGATTTGAATCACTAACATAAATGTATGAATGTAGATTATATCTCTGTAATGAGGCCTGAATCATTCTCAGTTACTTCAAAGGACTGAAATTCAACCTTCCTTTTTAGCAGCAACAATCAGACCTTAATGGGTTCCTTTATTAATTGTTTCACTGCTAAGTTTGAAAAGGAACTAACTTCAGTACAGGTCCTACACTAGAAGTGGTACCTACTACCTCTAAAACTGTTTCTTTTTTGCCTCCAAGCTCTTTACGATTTTCACATAGCTTATTTAGTGGCATTCTGATAAACATTCAGTAACATTGACTCATCCACATTGAAACACAGCAACCCCCTTTTTCAAAAATGTATGCAATGAGTAGAAAACATTTTTCAGAGTGTTGTTTCGGCAGATCAACTTTCCTAAGAATGTTGGGGGAAATGAAGTAAACACAGGAATTTTAATTGGAAATATTCATAACAATCTACTAGCTTCCGATGGTTGTATCACATTTTTTTTTGATCAGTAGAGATCTTTTTCTACAGTAAGAACTGCAAGTGTTCCTGCAGTTTGACAAAATTTCATTCTTGAATTCCTGAAGTATCTCACAGGTGGACACACTAGGCTCTGCCTACTTTTGATTTCCCTCAAACTATCATCTTTACTTGGTGTTGTATGTAACTTCTATGTCTTTAAGTTTGCAGTGTTGTTGCCGCCATCTTGGTCCCAGGATATGAGACAAGGTGGGTGAGGTAATATCTGTCATTGGCTCAACTTCTGTTAGTGAAAGAGACAAGCTTTCAAGCTCCACAGAGCTCTTCTTCGGGTAACCCTGAAAGGTTGTTTTAGGTAATAAACTTGTCTGAGAAAGAGCTCTGTGGATCTTGAAAGCTTGTCTCTTTCACCAACAGAAGTTGAGCCAATAACAGATATTACCTCACCCATCTTGTCTCTCTTAAATCTTTAGATGTTATTTTAGTCAGCTCACTCTGAAATACCACCAGCCTCCTGTGCAGACTTTGGACTGCTGGATAGTAATCATGACCATTTGCTTCTGACAGTGTAATTAGAGATGTGTATTCACCTTATTGGATCCAATCCTGCTCCCATTCTAGTCCATAGGAATTTTGCCAGCTACTGCAATAAGAGCAGATTTGGGCAAGTGATGTCATTTGTAGTGAGAGTGCTGCCAGAAATGATGCAAAGAATGCTATATGACAGTGATAATGCAAACAATGCAGTCTCTAGGCAAATGCAGGCTGCAGAGTTCTGCAATGTGGTCTATGATCAATCCCACCTGTACAAAAGTGGTATGACAGGTAGAATCCACAAGTCCCAGCATGCAATACTCTGTCTTAATGTGAGGCAGGCCAGTCAGACAGAGCACTGCATACTGAAACCTTTACACCATATGATGTACTCCCATAAATGAGGGCAGATGTAATCTGTGGCATTTTATGCAAATTAAGGTTTATGACAAGTCACCATTATGGTCCTCCTGTGAATAATCTGCAACATAACAAAAATTCTCTCTATCCTTCTATCGTGCTTTTCCACATATCTCAAAGTGCTTTACAAGGGTGAGCAAACATTATTATTCCCATTTTCCATATAGAGTGAGGTACAGTAGAACCTCAGAGATACAAACACCTCAGGAATGGCGGTTGTTTGTAACTCCAAAATGTTCATAACTCTGAACAAAATATTATGGTTGTTCTTTCAAAAGTTTATAAATGAACACTGACTTAATACAGCTTTGAAACTTTACTACGCAGAAGAAAAATGCTACTTTTAACTATCTTAATTTAAATGAAACAAACACAGAAACAGTTTCCTTACCTTGTCAACTTTTTGTTTTGAAACTTTCCCTTTATTTTTTAGTAGTTTACATTTAAAACAGTACTGGACTTGCTTTTGTGTGTGTGTGTGTGTGTGTGTGTATTACTGCCTGATTGCCTACTTCCAGTTCCAAATGAGGTGTGTGGTTGACGGCTCAGTCCGTAACTCTGGTGTTCATAACTCTGAGGTTCTACTGTATAAAGAAACTAAGTGACTTGCTCAGGTTCACACAGGGTGAAACTCATTCCTATGCATAAGACCAGCACAATGCACCCTTTAAGACTCACTTAATTGGGTTTTAAGTGATACATAGACCTTGGACACCTGCCCTCTGCACATGGGTGAATTTAATCCACAGTGAGTAAGTGGCAGAGATGGGAAAAAAACCTAGGTATTTTCATTTCTAGACCCATTCGCAATCCAGTAGATTGTAGTTGCTCATTGCTGTATACATTGCCTATTGCAATATAGATGACTGCATGGGTAATATTACCTTTTGTAACACTTGAGCAACCCTTGAGTTGTTGTACACTCTTAGAATCTTCAGCTGAGTAACTGACACAATTCCTTGTGTACAAGCAAGGACTATATTAAGAGTTTTAACAGAGCTCAACTCATGTTTGCATTCATCTTCCAAAAAGAGCTTGAATTTCTAATTCAGTCATAACCATGAAAACACACGCAAACAGCAAGTCTGAAATAAACAAAATTGAATTAATCCAGGCCTGACTCTGCCCTAGATCCATACTGCGATATTGTAATGAAAACATAGAGGGTTAAAGGGAGACTGTCAGCTTAAAAATCATGTATATTGCGTAACTGTATTACTAGGAGCACCTTCGATGGATAAAACTGAAAGAATTTTAAATATCCAAGATTCTGTTTGCAATTCACTCAGCAAGGGCAATGAAAACAGATGACTCACTTTTCCTTTTATTTCTATTCAGCCCTCTGGACCAGTGATGATCCTACTGGAGTCAATAGTAAAACTCCCATTAGTTTCTGTGGGAGTAGGATTTGGCCAGTTGGCAATTTTGCTTTTCAGTTCTCATGCACTAGCACAGTGCTGCAATGTGGGAGTTGCAAACACTGCAAGGGGATATTTAAATTCAAACAAA